AGCTCCCTGAAAGGAGGTTGAAGCCAGGTGGAGGTTGGTCTCTTCTCCCAGGCAACTGTCAGTAAGACAAGAGGGTCTTAAGCTTGTCCAGGGGAGGCTTAGGTTAGATATTAGAAAGAAATTTTTTACAGAGAGGGTAATCAGGCATTGGAATGGGCTGCCCAGGGAAGTGGTGGATTCTCCATCCCTGGAGGTTTTTAAGATGAGACTGGATGTGGCACTTAGTGCCGTGGTCTGGTAACCACGGCGGTTTTGGATCAAGGCTTGGACTTGATGATCTCAGAGGTCTTTTCCAACCTGGCTGATTCTATGATTCTATTCTGTGATTCTATGATTAGGCAATGCAATTCCTTCTGTTCTCAGTGGGTTTCTGACCTTCAAACCAGTCACATGGGAAAACTGGGTTCCTCAGGAGGCTGGATTCAGGAAGAGCAGAGGACATGCAGGGTACAGGCTGTATAGGCTGTATCTGAAATCCTTTCCTTCACCAGAGCTGAAGTATAGATACAGGCTTGTGAGGAGATGTCTTCATCCAGACTGGAAGAATGTAGGCATGTACAAATTTATTTCAATGAATTCAGTAAGGATGACTCTTTGTACTTGGTTGTGAAGCCTATTTTTTCCATCAGTGTTAAAGCACTTATTCGTAAACTGGATTTGTTTTCTTCTTCAACTGAAGAAGTCTTAACCCCCACTTCCCTCTTCCTTGGAGAAACCAGCAGTCTGTTTGAGTGGGCACTCTCATACCTTCATGGGCAGGAATTTCTCAAGGCCAAAGAATTGGAGCCTGCATGGCACTATGGGTTAGCAGTCGGGGCATCCGTAGCTTTTAGGCCTGACTCACAAGATGTGTTGTGAATTTTGGAGTAGATAGCTATTCGTTTAAACTCAAGATGAATAGTAGCAAGAAAATGGTGAAGGAAGTGGGGAAAATTGTTTATTTGCAGATTGTCTTTGAAGTCTAATACCGTAGCTGTGCCATATGATGGGCCCTCCCAAAGCATATGCTGTTCCCACAGGAAACACCTGGGCTAATAAAAGCTGTGTGGTATCATCGCACCAGGTCTCAGTTATGCAGAGGCTGTTATCTATAAGCAAAGCATGGACAGTGCTATTAGCCACTGACTTTTCAGGGAGCAATTTAGCCCATATCAACTAACTTTGCAAAGGGTCTCTGTTACGCCTGCGTGCAAGCATGAATCCATCTTTATATATATATATATGGCATTTTTAGAAAACAACCAGTGCTCAATGTTTTGGCAAAACACTACAAGCATAACTTGAATAACTGTCAGAATATTAGCCAAAAAAATAACTTTTAAAGCAAATATAATTTTTTTCCCTAAACAAAATCAAGAGAGACTGATTTGTTATTTACGGAATAAATAAAAGTGACACAACTTATCTTTTGAGTCTTGCATACGTGAAAAATGGTTGGGGTGGGAGCAGAGGGAGTTGTAGCCTGTTATTTTTAGGGTTGCCTTTTGTTGCACTTCAGTCTTTTTCCAGAGCTGTTCCTGGCTAACTTTCCCATGAGTTTTTAACCTCTTGCTCTTGTTCTCTTATGTAACAGGAAACAGGCTGACAGGAACAAATAAAACACAGCATATCTGATAGTTGCACTCAGAGGAGCGGTTGATTTAGTTAGCCCTGCCTTCTTCCCTCCAAAGTAGATACATTTGGAGATTCAGATGTGCCTCCACTCCTCTCCAGTTGTTTCCTGGGAAGCAGCGGCTTGTTTGTGTTCAGCAAGCAGCACTGAAGTACCGCAAATATGAGAAAACAGATGCATTTCTTTTAAGGTTGAAATTTGTGGCGGTGTCATGTCCTGGGATTGTGGATTTAAGTATTTGTTTGCTCTTTCTCCCACCCTTAAGGCAGGAGTTTTATGCAAGCTTCAGGGAAGAGATGACATCGGACGGATTGAGCTGGTCCAGAAGCTGGCGAGAGAGAACTGCCAGTTTTTGCAGGCGGATAGAAAATCACTGGAGAAGGCAGAACAAGTAAGACATTTCTTGTTTGGTTTTTTTTTGTTTTCTTCTGACTGGGGAGGGAGATTTAGGTCACAAAACTGAAATAGCAAAGCTGATGGTCAGAATCCAGGGCACACATTATTCATGGAGCTGTAACTGCTCTCCTCTGGCATTTACATTTCTCTGAAGTGCGTTCAGGTCAATAATTGTCAACGCACTTAAATTATTATGTTGTCATTAGCTGTCAGTTGCTGTTATTAATATCTTAGACACATAGGATGTAGCAGATGACTTCAGGATGCTTTTTACCAAATTGTTGGGTTTTAGGGCATATTTAAATAATGTATAAGGTATATGAGTACATCAAGTACTTACTTTAAATTGTCTTAAAATTACTTTATTGCTGGTATATTTGGATGTAAGTATTGGCCGGAACTTTTCAGTGTGAATTAAAAAGAATGGTCTGGATAGGGAATTCAATGTTGTTTTTTTTCTTTTAAATTGTGTTTTCAATCAAAAGTTACACTGAAGAAAGCAGCATTCCATTGAATGCTTCTGAAAGTATTTATTCAGATGTTAATAACTGGATTGAAAATGCACTGAAACTTGACTGCTCTGCTTATAGCATGTCTCCTAATATTGTTCTCTTAGTAAAGATTTCTATTCTGATTGCATATTAATCTAAAGCTGCAGAGGATAATAACAGCAAGAAACAAAAAAAATCCCACCTAGTCCTCGTGTCTCTTGCCATTTTGTGTATATAATTTATTCCATATTCTGTTCACTGGACAGGAGAAAAAAGGCACGTGCTTTAGAAAAGAAATACTTTTCAGCTCATCTGCAAGCTCATTCCTACTGAAATAAAGCTGCACAAAGGAAAAGAGAATGATGAAATCTTATTTCAGAGCTTCATGCTGTTCTGTTCAGCAACGTATAAGGTCTGGTTTGGTGTAGTTAAATATGTAATTGTATCAGTAGGTGTGCAGAAGCAAGAAAGGTCATTAGCCAGGCTAAGTCCTCTAGATTGAATTGTTCCTCAGCTGACCCACTAGTCATGGACATCTGGCAGAATTTCCATATATCTTTAAACTCTATCTACAAAGCACAATTAAAGGTTTAGGTACTTAAATAAAGAAGATTTTTAAACCAGGGAATGTTTCTGTTGTGTTTCAGGATTTGGAAGCAAGATTACAGATACGTGGGCATAGAGGAGAGGGGAATGTCGGGACTGATACTCCAAAAATTCAGTGGATCTTTTTGCTGCTTAGTCCAGTCATTGCAAAGGGTGCTGTGGTGTCAGCTGCAGTTCTGTAGCTGCACAGATTACAGTACAGTTCCAAAAATGGAAAGGAAAAAAGCACTCAGCTTTTCTTCTCCTTTTGAAAAGTGTGGTACTTAGCAATTGCTGCTATTTAGGAGATGAGTGACTTCAGTTTAGCAGGAGCTAGAGCAATCTGCTCATATCCATCCTGAGCAGTATAATGCAGCAGTTACTGCTCTGAGGCAAGGATATGCCTTTAGACTTTGAGGATATGCTTTTAGAGGTGACAGCAAAGAGAAATGTTGTCTGAGAGACTGCAGAAGCCCAGGTCATTCCTCATCTGCCCTTTATTTCTGGGTAGGGAATGTCTTACAGCTAGTGCAGGCAATAATAAATCACGGTGTGCTTCCTCTCCCAGTCTACAATTTACTGGTTATTGTAGGGTGAGAGTGTCTCTTCCCTTCAGTCCAGGCAGCCCATGCCCAGATCTAAGAGAGATCTACAGTCCACAGTGTGGATGTATTTGCTAAGCCCCCAGCTAGACTATTGATTTCATTAGGAATAGTCTCCAAGAAGGCACTTATGAACATGGGTAAGGCTTGTCATAGCTTCTCAGTTTAGCTGACTCAGGTAAGTAGCTTTCCCTGGGAAAAATGCACACATTGCTGTGGAGGGGCGGTGGATTGCATACGTTCAGGAAGCTGTGAGCTTCCATCCCTTCCTCTCCCTCCCTTCCTCCCATGTGGTCTGAGAGCTGATCCGACGCACGTGCAGGTGTCAGGATTTGACTGGCTGGGCAGAGTTCACTGTTCCAGGCAGCGATTCCCCCTCCTTTCAAAGGAGAAAAGCAGCAGGCTGAATTGTAGTGAGTACTGCTTGGACCAGGGCTTTCAGACCTTCCCATCTCATCCTGCTGCTACAAAAGTGATGGCAGATTCATTGGCATTGGCTTACTACCCAGTCCCTTGGGCTCACTGTAAATGTTAGAGGAACAACATGTTCAGGGTGTGGTGTTCTTATTATGTGTTACATGTCCATGTGCTACACGTCTTTTTTTATTATTTTTAAAAGCATAGCTTACCTTGCTTTCTTAGAAACACGGGGTGATGGGCACTCAATGTAGGAGTGAAATGGGTATGCTCTGCATGTTTTCCACAGGACCCTCATTTCTCAGCAAGTACTCTTGCGCTAAAGCTTTCACCAGCTTTCCCTCCTGGGGAGCTCAAACTGTGTTTTCTTGGATGATCTGTCCTCCTCAAAGGGATGGCATGCAGTCTGTAAATCAGATGCCTGAACACCCTGCCAGGTTGCTCTCCCTGCACTTGGAGAGCTTGCTAGCTGGATTGGCCTCCTGGCAGCCCACGTCGAAAGCAGAAATGCTGCTGGTTTGCAGGGCTGTGTGTTTCTTTCAGCCTGGGCCAGTGTCACTGTTCAAAGCTGGGGGCTTTATAACCTGCCTGGAAGTAAAGCTGCTCTTTCCGAGATGACCAATGGGGAATTTTGCCTAAAGCAGAGTTCTAGGTTGTCCTCCTCTAGAATTATGAAAAAACCCCAAAACCCCAGCTTGAATGTGCATATGCATAATTCCTCTCTACATATACTCTGTCCCAGGCATGTGATGGGAAATGGAGTAGGGGCTCCCTTGGTGCTACCCACTGTGTTTCTAAAGTAGGTCTCTTCAGATTAGTACAACCTCACATGGATTTCCAACATCAGTAGCAAAAATAAATGTAGTTTAATTGGGTTTTGATGATTCTTGTACTTTCCCGTAAAGACGGAAGTGTTCTCAGCCTAATCACAGAATTTGATACTAACTACCCCAATAACTCTTTTTCCTGTACAGTGAATGAGGTGTGGAGTGTGATGGGGAGCTAGACTGGATGACTAAGAGAACTGATGAGCTCTCCTGCCATTCAAGTATATAGTCATTATCTTAATCTGAGTTTGAGGACAGAAGTCAGTGATTCACTTAGCCAAGGTTGATGACATGTGGATGCAGAAGAGATTTTTGGGCAGATAAAGTAGCTAAAAGTATTCTTTAAGGTGTGGTTGTTGGAGGTCTGTGGTCCACAGAGGGCAGGCGAGGCATGGATTGATTTGGATTGATAGTTCAGAAGGAGATGAAAAATAATTATTTTTTCCCAGAAAAAGCAGATGGTCTGGAAGAGGGAAAATACGTGACAGCTGGGTGGTTCACTGGAGAAAAGCTCAGTTTGGAACTATTGTGGGTGAGAGAAGGGATTCCTTTAGTCTGGCTGTGTTCTGGAGGGTGTAAAATTGGGGTGTGTGTACATGATGTACATGCATATATTTTTACTTCATACTTTAAGTACCCTTATCAGAAAGTCCATACTGCTTTTGTTTCAGTTTTCTGGTGTGCTCTCATTTCTCTTCAGATTTGTGGTCTGAATGAAAAAAAGAGCTTTGAAAAAGTCATATAATTTAAAAAGTTCTGTGCTCAAACTCTGTTATATGTGAGCTGCTTAATTGATTTTGGCACTGGAAGCTGACAATGACCAGGTTAGACTGGTATATTGGAACTGGTGTTTCTCAGTAGCTCACAGTGCCAACTTCTTCTGTGGTGAATATAGTGTTTGCAAAGTGCTCTAATCATATTGGTACTGTCAGACTCATAAAGAAAAACAAAAACTAAATTACAGTGATTTTTCCCCCCCATTCCTGCTTGATAATGTGTTAGAATAAGGTGCTTAATTAAGGCACTGAACCTACCCTAGGTGTTAGGTTTCCTAAACCTCAGCTTTGCTAGGGAGTAGAAAGTAAATAGTACTAAATAAGATTCTAAATAGGAAGGTAAGCTTCTTCTCTTGCTGTTGAATTCCTACAATGAGATACAATGTACTGACAAATAAAGAAAACGAGATGGTTGTCTAAAACACACAGAAATTATTTTAGTATCAAATGTGGGCTAGAGTAAAAATAACTGTGCAAGCTTGCAATTCTAATTTTATCATTGCATGCAAATCACACACATAAGTCTAGGGAAAAGTAAAACTGGATATTTGTATTTTTATGTAATTTAAGTATTTCATTCCCTTTCAAAAGTTGCTTTGACAGAAAATAGATGAAAAATCTGTATTGAAATATTCAGCTATAAAATGCGCCTGCTTTTTTTGAGAAGTTTGCTTATTAGTAGCATTAATTATAATATAGAAAGCAAGTTCCGTATGTAAAGCCATTTGAAGTAATTTATCATAGCTTTTTTTCCTCCAGCATACTTTTGAGATGCATTTGAGGCACATTTGCACTAAACCATAGTTTTTGAAACTCCTCTTAAGCAACTACAACTCAATTGAATAATGTATTTATAGTAGATGTGAAACTGTTTGTACAGTGTTTCCAGTTATTATTTCAATGAAGTGTTGCACTCATTAAGAAAATCACATCTGTTTATAGTGTCATTGTCTTAGTAGAGTTGGAAAAGTGCTTTTCATCCCAGCAACATGGGGAGAATATTCTTTAGATTATATTATCATTTTCATGGTCAGATCAACTGAATAAGCTGTCTACAAATTGACGGTAATGTTCAAAGGAAATTTAAGATTCTCTAAGGTGCTCATAAGAGAACTAAAGAATATTAATTTCTTTATTCAACTATATAAATTATGTTCTAGGCTGAGGCTTTTCCAGTACTTCCCTGCATTGGGGAGGGGAACATTTCCTAAATCCACCCTGTAATCCCTTTACAGATTAATGTATATATTAATTAGAATTACCTACTGTTTGAAAGTATATATGTACATACAGCTTG